TAACCAGAGATGGTTTGTTTACGAAGAGAAAATCGTCCTTGAATTTATGATGTTTTGTTCATTTATGACAAAACTCCGGTACAATAGGCACCATACCAAAGTGGCATACAAAATGTAACGATGATATTGTGAAGAAAGATGTGCCTTGAATCTAAGAAAGTTCAATACATTTATCAACAGTGTAGTAAAAAATATGTTGCAATATTTCCATTGGCTTTATTCTGGTCTGTATCTAATAACCTGTCAAGTTAACAAGTTACATAATATCTGAGACTCGGTCGTGTATGATGCAAAGGCTTATTTATAAAGGTATATTTATTAGAGTTGATAATAAGAGTTTTTGTCAGGGTAGTTTGATACGCAGTGGAATTTACGGATGGATAGCAGATAGGCTTTTAACTCAAGTTAAAATTGACTTGGGATGTAGAGTTCTTCATAATCTAGTCAATCATCAAAATAAAAAGGGAGTGTAAGCAGCCTTTTCTGATACTGATCTTCACCTTGAACACATCTGTCAGCTGTCCTCCATGCAGGACTTTGCAGTGTGGTCGATCGTACCAAATGTGCACGATGTTGACCACTTTCCGAGGTACACCATCGTGTCGAAGACGGTTCCATAAAGTCCTTCTATCCACGCTATCAAACGCTTTCGCATAGTCAATGAAGTTGAGGTATAGTAATGAGTTCCATCCAACTGATCACCCAACAACGATTTGGTTTTCTCAAGAACGATCCTTACTGAATTCAGCCTTTGGTAAATGTAGACCCTTCAACTACCAGGGCCGAGTTTCAATGGATTAAGCTATTTTTCTGGTAAGCGCTTTTTTAGCAAGGTTGCTTTCTATGGAATGGTTTGCTGAATCCATCTTCAACACTATTTTTTCCGGGCTTGTTACCGGCAGTAACCACGGAAGGGCTACGGGCGGGGTTACAATAAGGTATACAAAAACAGGACATATAACACAATCAAGTTTGAACAAAAATTTGAGGAAAATGCAGTGCATTTAAAAAGCAAAGACATTAACAAAATAGCTAGAAAAGATTGCATAATATGACAGTTTAGTTCAAATAGAAGACAGACGATTCATAATTCACTTAGTTAAAGTCCCCTTCACTATCGTGAAAATTTTCAAGAAATCATGGCAAGATCTCCAGTGTTTAATATTCTGTACGTTTGATTGCGTCTCAAATCAGCGAGTTGCTTCATCTCTAAAAACTCAACCAGGGAACCATGATAAACGGCTTTCCATTTCGTGGCATCACAACGTAGACTGACTGCTTCCTCTCTTGTCATCAGTTACGTCAATATCAGTACTCACATAAATATCTAGATTCTCAAGCCTTTCAACTGCCTCGTTTGTTGCTGTTTCCGAATATCGATGAAAAAGTCGAAGAGGACGAGTGAAATTGGGCAACAGTGCAACAATATCGGTGACTACTGCATTGAAAATTGGTACTGTGAAGTAAAAGGTTGTGACCTCCACAAAGCTCAAAGAGACAGTCACCCCTATCTGACATGGAAAAAACGAGTCCCTGTTGGATACCAAGCGGCTCCACTCTGAGTAAAGACGGTCGACCTGTGCCTCGAATCCCCGGTTAGTACTACAATTTCTGTCGAATGTACTTCACTGACATCGTTTATTTGATGGTAGAACTCATCCTCGATCGCAGCTGGGCTGCAACCTGTGGAGACGTAGTCGAGGATCACGAAACGACATCGTCCCACATGCCAATTTCTATCCACTTTGGTAGTGTTTTGTAATCAAACAGGACACACGACTGACAATGGGGACCCGCTCGACTAGTGTGACCCTTACCCTGGCGCTTTCCGAGTCACCGAAACCGGATATTAATTCAACAGAGTTCCCTAATTTGGATGGAATATGTGATTTCGGGAAAGTTGCACCAAGAAGCGTATTCGGAAGAATTCAAAATTTCGGACAATTACAGACTTGAGATCACATAGAAAAACAAAGGAACACACGGAATGAGGCATATACAAGTCACGTAAGAATGGATGTGACAAAATAACTGCGAATAACAATGAGGAAGGGCACTTTCCAATAGTAATTATTGTATTTTGTTTCAAGTGGGATACCATCTACCTATTATGGCTAAGGCAACTGGCTTACTTAGTGAGTCACTCCCCATCGCATAGATCTAGATGATTATCGACAAATCAGTGGAGCGACACGAGACATCCAATAATTGCGCGTGGCCAAAATCAGATTCCTACTTCGATCGTTCTTTCGAGGTCTGGAGCCGCGTCCTCCAAAATATATGGTTGAATGTTTTGTAGTCAAAAACTCAGTTTAAGCGCATGATAACCACTTTTCGTTCTCTCAGTTTAAACAGCGCCTCCGCCGCAAGAAGGACTTCCAGAGGAGGGTTTGTAAACACATGACCTCATGAGAGCACTTTGATGCAGTGAACTTACTTCACTTTCCGAGTGAACCAGGGCATTGGGGAGGTATTACCAGGTAAGAAATAAATCTCGTTTAGTAATTATATCTACACAAACGTATGGGAAGTCTCCGACTAGTGGAAGCGTTCATTTTGATAGTAGACAGATCTACGCGCCTCTACTCGCTACTTGTAAGGGTAACATACAGATGCATCCACTACATATGAGGCACTTTTAATATCCTATAGAACAGGACAATGTAGTTCTGAAACTTAGTGTGTCACTCTAATTTCTTATCGATTGGCGCACTACAAAAATGTCATCTCATAACTATAAAAAAATCTACCTAATTCCTGGTCTATTTCACATTATGAAGTCCTGTCCTTGTAATGAAACTTGAAGATTTTGTCACTGATATGCCTTTTACAATAACAAAATGCACTAACCTGGGAAGAAAAGTGCTAATTGCAAGACCCAGAGAAAGAAGTGGAATGACCAGTCGTATATCAAGTACAAAGTACAGTACACTATAGATGCACGACAAGTCTGATGGAAGTGCAGTGAAATTATTATAATAGTGATTGATTCACCTGGGGAGTTATAATGTACATGTTCTGTTACCCATAGGTTGCAATTACTGTTGTTGCTGACTGGCAATTTAGCTTTGTCCCATACGTAAACTGTAAGTGTAGTAATCATAAAGAAGAGCAGTTTCCTCAGCGTTGTATACTTACACCTAAGATTGGTCACTCATAAAGCAGACGTCAGACTACAGATGACAGCAACCATCTACCAATGTGAAAAAGAGGAATTATATACTGCACTTGTTTGGTAAACTAACCGTAAACTCTTATAAAATAACTTTCTGAGAAAGTTTTGATGATCTGACTACAACTCACTACATGTAAACTGTCTACCACAAATTTCAACACCCCATGAGAATTTTAGCTTTGTACGCATTTATCTCAAAGAATTCGACTTCACGGGTTTAAAAATTATGAAGCTTTCATTTTAATCCTGATCAACAGCATAATTGATAGGATATCGACGAAACTGATAGAACTATCGGGGAGACTATGGTATACAACATAGTCACAATGTACAAGGAGAGGACAAATTCCAGTACAATAACACGACCACAGTCAGCATAACTGGAAAATTTCTTATGATTTTAAAATATTGAGAGTACTACAAATGCACTTCTATGCTAATTACCAAGATATTTTCCAGGCATATCGTTCTGTATCTTAACACAAACCGGTCGAACGAAAAGTTTCCAAAATCGTAGAATGAAGGTGTGTGATGCCGAATTCAGAGATTAAAAATGAGACCAGATTAGGTAGTGGACATCAGTTAGGAATGTTTATCTTCGTATCTAGGTAAAATCGGAACATAATACTTGGTTTCATGATGAATATCAATTCTAAATTAATGTACTATTCACGAGTACTTGAAATTAAGGTATACTTTGCTGAGTTACAGATTCACGTCTTAGAGTTGCACATTGAGATTGATCAACGCCGAGAAATTCACTGTTGTCAAAAAAAATTGTTGACGACTAATCGTATTTAACGAGTATCCAATCAATTCAGGGTCTAGACCCAATCTAATATTTCCGTTAATAAATCAAATAAATTCATTGTGTATCGTAGGGACTAATGATCTGCTACAAACTACTAAAAATAAGTTTACCATAAATATACGTTACGGAGCTGGTTTGAACTTTAACAGAGTAATATACAAGTCAGAACCAAATGCTTGAAATCTACATACAATGCGACAGTGACTCCTGAATGTTTTTTTGAAGATGATAATATGATGAACAAATATAACTTTGGCTGAAGGTTAGAGAAGTAATAAGAAACACAACGAACTTAGCTAAATTACTATTTGTTTCTGAAAGAGACTCGCTATTATTTAATTCTAGTCCTGTTATTATGTAGTTAGATGACTAGACCCCAAGAGACTATTATTTATCAAACATGTACTTGGTCAGACTTTAGAGACGTACTAATAGCCCAGACTTTTTGATGGCTTAATGAACTATAGTGGTATGAAGAATTCCCACAATATTGGTTTATTAAATTTAAAATACGTTCCTGATATCCTAATGTCGATTTTATTGGTATATCTAAGAAAAACACTTTCCACTATTAAACTAATGTACTCTGGTCGCCTCAAGACCAACCACAAAAGCTATCTCCGGTAACTTATTTGAAGCATCTCGAGGATGAAACTAGGATAACTACAATCGTTGGGAAGACGTGAAAATGTTAAACCTTATGAGAAATAAATTCAGCCCATATAACAAAGTACCTAATCAAAAGACACTTAACAAAAGCAAATAGCACGTTACAACCAAATAGCAACGAGAATCTTAGTAGTGAACACTAACATAACTAAGCATCACGTCACATCGAATCTAGACAAAGATATGGTAAGACTCGACAAGCATTAAGTAAGCATTTAGGATTGTCTCTTTGAAGTTAGGTATAATTAGGTTGTATAACGTTACGACCAAGGACTGGATTTGATGTAGAAATAGTTTCATAACGATGGCTGATGTATAATGATAAAGCAATTAGATTAATTTAATTCATTCAAGACGTTCTTGGCTCATCCTTACACACCGACAAACTTTTCTCTTGAATTCCGCGAAATCCTCCCTGAATTCCTTCTGAATACAAAAGCAAATTAGCATGCTTATCAAGAACTTACAGCAGCATCAACATTGGCAGGGCTGTCAGGATTAGGCTCAGCAAGCATCGAAATAACAGAAGTAATAATTGTTTCTACGGTATGCACAGGAAGCCATCTTTCTTCGGGCCTTTCGTAACCCCACAGATCTTTTCCAGGGTGATGAAGAATGGATATACAAACATCTCCGTCTTGAGCAATATTTGGATGCCAGATATCAGTTACAAACCGCATTTTAGGAGGGCGCTCGGGGTAGTCTTGTGGAAAGTCTAGCTCTGCATGAAAACAACCACCCTCACTAAAAACGAAGACTAGAATTATTGTGGCTTACTAAAGAGTATCTGGTGGACCAATGATAAGCACTCGCCATTTGAAAATATTATCCTCATCAACCAACCCCGCTGAAAAACCTTCAGTTGCGCTTTTGTTCAATTCTGCAAATGATTTAGAAAGGCGTGAAAGCCGTTGAAATTTGAAAGCAAGTCAACAGTTATACTTATTTATAAGGTCAACTAACCATATAACTGTTTTTTAAGCGAGAGAGCAGATAATGAACTACACATGTTAAAGCTCTGGGGTCCCCAGTGTTAAAACCCGCGGTCTGGAGTAACGCAAAAAATTGGAACAAGAAACCTTGTAACACCATGAAAAATCATTTTTAGAGTAATGTTATTGATGTGAATTTATCTCTCAATATATGCCAAAAAAGTGTTAATAGACTGAGAAGATCAGAAGTCTTGGGTAAGCTGGACTCACAAAACGATGTATGCGACTATTTTGTAAATAAGCTTTTACTTTTGTAATGGAAATGAGTCGTACGATTTTCTAAACGTACATGCGTTGCTGCTGGCACATCTTGTTTTACTTCCCCAGATTTTCACTGACCATGATTTATGCTCTTGTTTTTAGAATTCTCCTGATTCCAATTAGACGCTTGATGGTGGTTGGACGTAATCAACAGGAAACCATGGACCTGGGTTTCGTGCTGCTTGATACTCGTCACCAAAGTGTACCTGTAATCTTGAGGGACCTGGTTCCCACTGACGGATTTGATCCCGTGTCGCTTAGCTTCACAGTCAGAGACGTTAACACTGGGTTATCCGTGCCGCGATCGAATGTACAGGGTAATGATCATCTGTGGAACAATTAATTGGTATTACACAGCTCGACCATGTAGGTTGAATCACCCTTACTTTTCATAAAAAACATGTTATTCTCTTTCCAGATTAAATTTATTCTTAAAAATACTTAAAACTACTGACTGTCACTAATCGATGCGTCAGTATAGTTAGTCACAACATGGCAGTTTCATGAGTTCATATTAGGTTTATTCTTCTAACACCATAGATAAGTACACTTATACAGCATTTGACTTAAAATCATTATTAGTGAGCCAGACTGTTATCAATAGTTCTCACATTCACTTTAACTCTACCAACTGACTTTTACCTATCTTAATCTATTATTCTAATAGTCTTTTGATCAGTGCTCACATGTATTTTCGCATTGTGATACTGAGTAGTATTCAGAGTCAGCTTACTAGCTCGATCTACGCTAATAGCTGATTACCGTAGTTACAATTAGCTATTTCGATTCATCAACAGGTTGTGATAGCAGTTATATGTTTCAGTGGAATAGGTTTGTTAAAACATCAACCACTAGCATACATGGCGCTCAATCGATTTACCTACACGTAGTAGTCAAGGTGGGCAAGGATTGAATAGTTGTCTGGATCTAATTTCATACCTCGTTTCTTAATTATACAGTAGGCAGATTGGTCACGTCATCTCCGTCTAAATCGAGTAGACCCCCAATCATTCGACACAGATCATCTGCGTCGGTGATCTACATTGGTGAGCAAGATTTCAAATAACGCAACTTAATATCATTGTAATTTTTACTGCTGCATTCTGTACTTAATTTTTTATATCTCTTTTCATTTCATAAGTCTATCGATTACTCTGAACACTCACTGTTCAACTTGGCTATAGGTAATGACGATAAGTATGTATATACAAAATTTAAATCTGCAGTGGTCTTAAATTGGCAGCGTTTGTTCTTTGACCGCTCATTTTGTTGATAACTTTGGTTAGTGGGAGATTTATCGAGTGAGCTTTTGAAGTCGGTTGGAAAATTTAACGAGGTGAGAGGGGTGAGAATACAATCCGATAAAAGCTGAACGGGAGAGGCAAGTTTATATCTCGCATGTGGTTTGAAATTATGTGGGTTGGATTCCTCGACAGAGGTACCACTAGGAACTTTATCCCAAAGAAATCTTGCACAGGCTGACCGTGAAATGTAATTTTATTTACAAAATAGTCTTGATAGTTAAGATCGTAGCTTGAGTTATAGCTATTTGTAATAATGTGAGCTTTGGAAAGACCTATTGTACGTAACCGGAATTAGTTATGATAGTATTTAAACATGGAAGCCATTTTTATGTGGTGGGTTGGTTATGAAGAACGTAAAACGTTTTCTTTTTGAGAGTACTTACGATCGTGATCATAAGGAACTAAGATAGGGTTTGGAGTGAGAAACCTATAATTACCATACATATTGTAGAGGTAAATAAATACCCAAAATAAATAGCTCTGTAAGTCATGCATCCGCACTAGATCACGAGTGGGAACGCTGAACTCAACAACCCCTGCAATCCCTAGCCATATTAGATCAGACGATCTTCGATATATTGATAGTCCATCAAATATATCTTCGAACCTCCTCATGTCTGTCTTTTGATTTCACTTGGTGGGTACGATTCATATCAAGTGTTACTGGTTAAATTGTTGTCAAACTCCGAATACCTGTAGCATATTCAGTATTATTAGTTATGCGCTTTAGCGGGTGAGTTATGTGACTGGTACTCTGATAGGTTTTGTTGGTTTACGTGTTCAAAGGCTGGTTACATTTATGCCTACTACCAGTTTTGCCACTAGGTGTTGAAGGTAGTCTACATGATGTCAGCGAGGAGAATCTGTTTACTATGGGAGTCAAAAGTGTTGAATTGAGTCCTATCTATTTCGTGGATTTCATCTTGCCACTCTTCTTTGCCGGAGCTGGAGAATTACTATGTGTCTGTGAAATCAGTTTCAAATCATTGGGGTCATCTTGTGCAATACATTGAGTGGGACTAGTTTCTGTTTGATTAGATTTAGTTGGATGTGTGTCGTCACACAGCTCACATGTAAGTACTTTATTACGTGAACATCCTTTATTATAATTACAAACGTCTTTGTGATTTCTGGTTTCAGTTGGAATCCGTATCTTATCCAAAGATTCCCAGCCTTCAGACCCATCTAAATCGATAGAGTGATCTGCTGTTTGTGTATCCTCGTTGTAGAATCAGTGAAGTGTCACCGAACCCTTGCCAAATCATCTAGCAGTCGGAACACTGAGTGTCGAACGGTTCAGCTTTTTCCGCCAAGGTCAAGGACAAGCAACACGCATTAGTTAATTGCACGTCGTGGACTGACCGATTCGGCAGTGGTCGTACTTTGTCGCTTGCACCTACTCTTACTAATACATTTCTGCAATAACGTCCTTTATGTTGTAAGGTCATTAAAGCAGCCGTGGCACCTGTACATGACGAAGGGATGATCCACGTTAAGACTAACGATAAGGTGTGACTTCGACGTTAGCTGGTTGTTCACTCCATTCTCGTTTAACTCAAGAAGGTCGCTAAACATTTAACGCGGATCATCTACGTTGATGATTTACATCACGCTCATTGTACATGTGCTTCAAACCCCTTACAGTATTGCAAACACTCTAGTTGGGTATTTGCTGTTACATGACCATGGGATTTAATGGCTTCAAGTTTTCTTCCACGACGTTGGTAGGGTGTTAGTTTTGAAGTGAATTTTATGTTCCTATACAGAATCGATGAGCTAATGATTTTACTCATCTTATTAAACTGTTTGACATCATTGCAACAGCGAAATTTAATTAAGAAGAGCCATATAGATCTATATGAATTTTTCTCAGGAATATGACTTGACAGTTCATCTTCAGCATACCGCATGCTCCGAGACAAATATACCTTAACTTAGTTGAGGGTATGACGTCAAAGGTTGTACACAACCGCATTGTGGGATGACATTAGTCTTTTCGTCACTTATGCTACTAACTACATGACACGTTCAGATTTATCAAGTTTGTAGATTTATGACCTAGTTCGTTATTATACCGCTATAATAATAGTCCTAATTCTAAAAGTGTGGATTGATCGCTGTAATAATAATATATATTTCTGCATGTGCAGGTACACACCGTTTTTACAGGCATGATCTATTAATTACAACATTTGTTGATTCATAAAATTTTTCTCAACCTATTAAGTTTATAGTTGTTATAAAGTGAAATCGTAGAGCGCTCGCTGTAAACTATAACCTTGATAGGACGCGTACGTCAAGTTTGTTCCAAACGTCAGAAGTTTCATAGCTGTGCCCTCAGAGCAAATTGCTGAAGAGGAAAAAAAGAGAAACAGAAGAGCAGCAAGGCACTTGGATATGAACGCCAAACGTTGCTTAACATAGTGTAGTAGAACAGACAGAGTTATAATAAATTAGAATAAATTTTTTTTCTTTTCTTGCTTTGTCCATCCGATAGCCACACAATCCTAGTGTAAAAGCCCGAGTTAGTATGTTAAAGGTTGTCTTAGTAGAATAGCTTATCCAGCATAAAATTGGAACCATGAGTCTGAGCGGTGAGCGTAGAAAGACAACCTATATCACAGATTGATTGACTTATTCTCAATCATAAAGAGCCTGATACATACAAAATATTCTGCCCCACAAACACTGGTGAATTGAAGTTATCTCCCCATCATCATGTTTGCTGGTCAGTAACTCCACCCTCCCTCCTTTTGTGATGTTAGGCTCATTTAAGATTATTGTTGTATATATGACATACCTCACACAACCTTCTGTGTTTCATATTCTGTTGGAAAACACGATAAGTACCACTTTACAAGCTTATCAGGCAGTTACAAGCTATGTACTGTGTGTAAGGCATCGATGCAGTGCTTTTGTTGACTATAGTATAATTTATAGTTTGCCAATCAGAGTATAAGCATTAGGAAGGATATAACGTAGGATAGTTGTTTATTAAAGCAGGCGGAAAAAGTATAGAAGTATATGAGTTGTAAATAGAGTAAGGAGTGGAGAAATAATATTAATTGCTAGTCAACATAGTGTAGAAGAATGAAAAGTTAATACAGGATAAACAGGAAGAAACGCACAGTAACTTGGTGCTGATGTTATTTTGTGTTGTCCTAACCAGTTGATTGGTGACAGGCTCCATAGATGCAAGACCACTGGTAGTAGGCAATCGATTGTGCGGTCCTCTTGACTTTCTGAGGTTGGTAGTGTGTATCTTTTAGCGACCGAGTTTAGTTGAACAGTGTCGATAGGTCCAGTGATTTATCTGTCTACTTCAAGTGAAGAATTACGGTGGAAAAAGTAACTAGTACAACTGCAAAGTAGGAAAAATAAGACAAACTGAACTTGAAGTCCATTTCGGTCTAATCATGGAGAGAGCCTATGATGTCTGAGTGGGGCGCAGA